CCCCGGGCTGCCCCCACCACCAGCATCATCCCCCTCCTCCGGCAGCCCCAGGGCTCCAACCCTCAGCACCCACCCAAGCCCCAGCTCCCACACAGTGCACAAAGCTGACACCCTACAGACCGTCCGTGCAGGCCAGCCCTCTACCACATAATAGTGACAGACACAAAGCAGCTTAAAATTCCCTTAGTTGTACTTAACCCACCTGTTAATGCAACTGAAACCACCGTCTACCCAATAAGCGCCCTTACACACTGGTGACCTGGTGCTGGTCAAGAGATCACAGAATCACAGAATCTTCTAGGTTGGAAGGGACCTTAAAGATCATCTTGTCCAACCATCAACCTAACTGACAAAAATAGACACCCACACAACAAACAAGAAGCATCATCACTAAACCAGACCTCCCAGCACTACATCAACCCGCCTTGTGAACACCTCCAGGGATGGTGCCTCCACCACCTCCCTGGGCAGCCCATTCCAATGGCTGAGAACCCTTTCAGTGAAAAGATCTTTCCTAATATCCAGCCTGAACCTCCCCTGGCGCAACTTGAGGCCATTTCCTCTCGTCCTGTCTCCTGGGACTTGAGAGAAGAGACCGACCCCCGCCTCTCTACACCCTCCTTTCAGGGAATTGTAGAGAGCAATAAGGTCTCCCCTCAGCAGGGGGATGGCAGGGAGGCTCTTGACTCTTCTTGGAGACTTCCCCGTAACTGCAAAAAATCATCACAAATTTTTAAGTATTTGCTGTTATGGCTTCTATGGTTCAGTATCACTGTTATCACCACGGGTTCTGTACCCCTACTCTGCTTTTCTCTGCTAGCACTTAGTGTAACAAAAAAATAAATAATGACTATGCCCGTTGCTTTTGAGGTGCGGGGAACAGATAAAAGACAGCGAGCTCTAGCGCCTGTGTGTATCCAGCCCCTCCTCTAACTAGGCTGCTGTGCCCTTTTTTTAAAGACGAACTGATCCGTGAAATCACCATTAACTGTGCAGAGCGAGGGCTGCTGCTGCTCCGTGTCAGGGATGAAATCCAGATGACGATCGCCGCGTACCAGACGCTGTACGAGAGCAGCGTGGCCTTTGGCATGCGGAAGGCGCTTCAAGGCGAGCAGGGCAAATCTGACATGGAAAAGAGAGTAAGTTGGGCTCTTCACCACCTTCTGCACGGGACACAGCACAGGGACAGCAGAGGCAAAATTTTATAAGAAATCAGTTATTTCTCTTTCCACTGGATGGCAGTGGAGATCATCAAAATACTTGTATTGTCCTAGGGCTTAATGGCACTCCATAAATTAACCATTACAGTATCTGGAACACTCTAGTTCCAGATGTAAACATACAACTTTGTCCCACCTTAACTGAAAAATTGATTACTAACAAACACAACTTGAGCAATCTGTGCTCTTTGCCAAGATTGCAGAGCTAGAAGAGGAAAAGCGGGAGCTGCAAAAACAAGTGAGAGAAGAGAAAGCGAGATGTGAAGCGATTGAAAAACGCGAGACCGAAAGGCGCCAGATAGAAGAGAAGAAACACAGTGAAGAGGTTCAGTTCCTGAAACGAACATATCAGCAGCTGAAGGTGAGTAAAATCAACGCAACTCCAAACAGTAATGGTAAAACTTGTCATTTTGTAACTCAAAAGGTACAAAAATAACGTTCTCCTTATAGTTTCAGAAGTGTTAAGTTTATGATGCATTTGTATTAATGTTCCATTCATGTTAGTTTTGTGCACAGTGTTTTGTGAGAACAGAACTTCTGCTTATTTTTTGGGGTTTGAAAGGAAAAAAACCCCATCTTTTGATTAAAGAAAAACCATTACCATAAACAATGTTAAACATTTCTGGCTACAGCTAAAAACATTCCCTTTACACCCTCCTTATCCTCACTGTTCCTACAGTCTCTCCTTTCCAAAACAAAAGATTCACTTCAGTGAATCTTTGAAGTGCTTTAGGGCACAAAATGGAATAACTGTTCAATCAAGTGTATGTCCCACTGAATCAGTTTCTCCCTGGGAATGCACATATCCCAGCAGCTGGGCGTGAACCGTCGCTGTGGTTTGTTTTGCTGCAGCTCTGGAAGAGGCAGCCTCAGACTCCTGAAGCCTCCAGCCCCCCACGCTCCCTGAGCACGGGTAGCTCTCCCATCACTCTGCTAATTGGGCGTCTAATTGGGTTGTCTCAGGAACTGAAAAACTTGCTGTTCCCAGCTACTTTTGTCCCAGAGTCAGAGTTTGTGTTCCAAATGCCAGAGAGCCAAATATTTAATTTAGCTAACGTAGTCCAGCCTGAAATCAGAGATTTCAGACCACGGTTTCAACAGCTTTTATTTAATTTCCTCTTCAATGCTTTACATTATAAAACGAGTCTCATTGTATGGAACTGAGGCCAGCTCTTTTCTTCTCAGAACGCAACAAGTGTTTATGCCAAGAATGAAAAGCTAATTTATAAAACATGTAGTAAGGAATGGAACAGCGAGGGAAAAAACCCTGGCTGCTTCTCTTGAAGTATTGCAGCATCCCTCAGCTCCACGCTTTGAATATCTAACAGACAATTCATCACTTTTCAGCAACGTGGGTTTATTTTTTAGGTTGAATCTAATTTGACTTACTGTTTCATTTGTTTTTCAGGCCCAACTTGAAAGCATCACTGCACCAAACAAGTAGCTTTTTTCACTGTCCTCCAGGCACTGCTCGGGGGAGCTGTCGGGGTAAGAAGTTTGCAATTAGTGACAAAGATCTGCCTTCGTAAAACAGTCTTAAATTTTCACTTACCAGCAACTGAAGGCAGCGTAATTGCATTCTTTTTCTTTTTCTGTTGAAGAGTTGAAATTCAAGACTTAGTTCCTGCCCCCTCTTTCAACGCGATCTCAGTAGACCTGGCTGGGACTTGCCTGGTGGTAACACGCTAACGACCTTCAAAGCAATAAACTAATAAACACTTTAATATGCAAGCATCTCTGTCATATTATTACTTTGTAAACGTTGTAGAAAATTCAGAAATAATACATTTCTTGTGGACGCTTTGTGTAAGTCACATTCACTAAGACTCAAGTTGCAGGTAACCCCTGGGCAGGTGTCTCGTGGGTGTTTCCTTGAAAACGTGCAAATTGCTGTGAGTTGTACATGGCAAACCTCCTCAGAACCCTTGGTGCTAACCCAGGATGAGCAAACCTGGGCTCTCTACATGGTTATTTCTAAAGGGACAGAGGGGTGTGACACCATTCCGAGGGGCACTTCTCAGTGGAAGCAAAGAAATCCCCACTGGAGGTGCCCGTGTGACCAGCTGTTCCACAGGCGTGGGGCAGGTCATTCGCTACAGTCGTGTAAAAACTCCATAAAGCTCCTTTCCAGAAAAAAAATCCCCAAACCCAGCACTGCTGGGTGACACTTCAGGATATGTCTGGCCCACGCGGTGTTTACTGGCCTCAGCCAGCGATGTGGAAATACCGCAACCTCCAGTTGCATAAAGAACTCTCAGATGATGCACAAACAAAGAGTGAGATGCTGCTCCTGGGAACGAGACAGACACGTCAAACGAGGCTTTCAATGGGAACTACAAGTTTTATATTAAAAAAAGCCACTGCATACTAGAGCTGGTTTATGTAAAATTTAATAGAATAAGCAGTTATTGCTTATGGTTGTATTTTTTGTGCTTTGATCTTTGTTCCTCCAAGCCGGTTTTTTTCTTGTTCTTATTCTTATTTTTCACGTTGTGAGTTTCATAATACCGGACTCCCACTTTCTTGGAGCGCTGCTGCCTCTCGGCTCGTCTTCTCTGTAAAGACACACAGAGCACATTAGCACATCCACAGTGTCCGTGCCCTGAATTTACTTGTTCTTTCAAATGCTGTTCACTTTGCATTCCCCACGCCTTAAGTAAAATAGATAATGTCAAACAAAACACTGTGAATAGATGAGCATCGCTCTAAAAACGTTACAGATGAAGGTACACTTTAATCTTTACAGAAGCAATAAAGAAGACACAAGCAGCAACCTGAGCTGCAGAGTCACAGCAGAGGTCTTTTAACAGAAGAGGTGACAGAACATTCAATCTGCTGCCCCCCCCGACAGTCCAAACGCCCCACAGCAGCACTGGCAGAGCCCCTGCTGCACAAGTCTGCTTACAAATCACTTCCAAAGTCCTACAGATGGACTATTTCACTTGGCATTTAAGTTATTCTACAAGAATTGTTTAGGCTTGACTAACATGAACAGAAACAAGCAGCAGCAGCTCTTTGAAGACAGAATAGTTCTGCCCATCTAGTTCCAAATTCTCCCACCTCCCAGTGTCCAGTCCCTGCTCTCTTCACAGCACCAGCCATGGGCAAACGCTGAAATCAGGACACTTGCCCACAAAGGATTCTCCCCTTCACTCTCCTGTGCTGGTTACCTCCTGGGCCCTTCTCTGGGTGACATTTACTGTCACACCTCATGCCAGCAGCGAGTCTCCCTGCCTCAGCTACTGCCCCTGTGCCCTCTCCTCCTCCCAGCGCCCAGGCTCATCTCTCCGACCTGAGAACGGGCAATCGATATACAAAAAAAGGCAGCTCCACTGCCCTGCTCATTGGTTGTACCACAAGAAATCACACTTACTTCTTTGGATGTCAGTTTCTTGCAAGGCTGTTTATCCTCCTCCTCATCATCTTCTGCTTTCCTTTTTCTTTTCTTCTCTGTGTTGCCTGCAAACAGTAGAGATCACACACTCAGGCATCTTCCAAAACACCCATCTGTCCTCAGAATTTAAGAGTGGGGTCACCACCTCCTCAACTTCAGCAAAGCTTCCCTTTGGTTGTATTTTAATAGCTTGTTCCTTACCAGAGAACCGCTTGCTATTGCTATGGACACTGCTCTCGAGAAGCAGATCGCTTCAAGCCCCATGCAAGTCCAGAAGAATTTCACAGATTTGCCAAAATAGGGTTCTCTCATGCGATTTTGCCTTTAATCACTCTTATATGGAAACCGAAGCCACAGACTCTCGAAGTCACCACAGTAAAACCTATAGCCTGAAGTATCTCTGTGCTTTTATAGCATCTAAACCCTCCCACTCCCTTCTGTGCAATATTACACCACGAGGAAGGGAAGTTGCTCTGTCTGCAGTCTGTTCAGACTGGAAGACCACTTGTCTTCACTCCCCCACATGTCACAGAGAGACATCTCTCACCCTGTGGCAGGTGCTCTACAGAAAGGTCTCCAGCCAGCCCTGAGGTGAGCTATGGAGACTTAAATAGCTTTAGGGGAAAAAACTTGAATGCTTCTCCTCCAACTCCCTCTCTTTCGCTCATGGGATTTCCAAATGCAGATTAAGAACATCTACTAATCTTATTTTACCTCTGTTTTCATTTTCTTTGGGTTCCTCAGGCTTCGGCATGGATTTTGCAAACACTTTTTCACTCAGCTGCTTAGGGATTCTACAAAAGATAAAATAAGCAATAAAAGAATGTCACAGCAAAAATGTAACCATCTCCGAGAGGTCATCAGTCCCCAGTACATCCCAGCCCCTGTCAGCAGCAAAGCCACCACCTTTGCACCTCATAAACCTGTTACAGTAATCTTGTCTCTGGAGCTACTGGGCTTGTGCGCTGCACAAAGGGGTGCAATGTAAGACCTAATCCTGAAATCTTAGTCCTCACAAAGCTGGTGGATGAGCTTTGCTGAAACAGGGCCTGCTATGTGAGTGAGGACACTTAGGGAGACCAGCTGGTACATCAGCCTTGGCACTGCTCAAGAGAGAACCCAACCCAACATCAAGCAGAGATCCAAGGATGCGATGTCACAGGTACAGATTTCTGATCCATGGCCCAAGAGGCAGCTTTCCAAAAGCGAGAACATTTTCAGTTGTTCTGGTAAACAGGACTTCTTGGAACAACCTTTCCAAACCAAGCTGCTGCTTAGCCAAAGCTCAAATATTTACAGCTAAACTAGATAAGCTGCAGCAACTCGTGTGGGGCAACACAGAGGAACCAGTCAAGCAATCAGGAGTGAAGTGAAACTACAGCAGAACCACATTAACCCTTTTCCTTCCTGTGAAATACTTGAACACTGAACAGATTCCAATACCTTATTGCTGAGAATCTCTTTGCTTTGGCTTTATCCAGGAATTTTTTGTATTTTGCAATCTTCTCATCCAACGCCTGAAGAACTGCCTTAGAGCTCTCCCTGGCACCAGGCATGGCCAACGGCGATTCCTCCTCCACTGGATCTTGCTGCTGCTCATTTTCCTCTTTCTCCTCTTCCTGCTCCTCCTCTCCAGAGGATTCACTGTCTGTTTCCTCAAAGCCTGGCACATCTACAGGAACCAGGTCTTCTTCAGAGAACTGAGGTGCCACATTAATCCTCCCAAAATTCTGCCGAACATGTGACATGAGCTGCTTAATTTCACTGTCTGTATTATTCTTCTCGGGGGCTGGCTCCACACTTGATGCCACCAACTCAGAGGTTTTCTCCTCATTATTATCTTGGCTCGATGTCACAGCTACTTCCAAGGCAGGAGGCTACAAGAAAGAACACAACGGATATATTACCCACTAAGTCTGTCCCACCACCTCCAAAAGCAATTTCCATTTTACCTCTTTGAAAAAAGCCTCAGATGAGAGGCTAACAATGTGACAGCTACCACATTTCTAGTAGTCAGACAATGGTAAAATGGCTCAGAGATCTCTGTAGAGAGTACTTCTGCCTGGTCCTCACCATATCCAAGTGTCACCTGAATCACCAGACTTGGGCAGAGCCCAAGACACGCCCTGCCCAAGTTACCTGGCACTCTGGGAAAAACTCCAGTGAATGCCATTAGGAAAACCGAACAATATGTGACAAGAAAAGGCACGAGCATCACATTCTCACCTGGGGACCTGTTTCTGCATTCGGTGGCTTCACAAAGAAGGGAATCCTGCCCCTCTGCCAGTCATTGAGAACCATTTTGCTCACAGTTTGCAAGTCGGGCTCACCACCCTGAAAGAACCCAATAACAACTTATGGCCACGTTTGCAGCACAAACCACCTTTCTATTACCCGTAAGCAACAGAAACATCCCTATTTCCCATATTCAGTAACAGGCCACATGCTCTTCCAGTCTGCAAAGGCAGAAAGCTGTCACACCTTTAGCAGTTTTCCAGTCCTAGCAGCAAGTTTCTCAAGGAACTCTTCTGTATCCTTCCAGGAATCAATTTTGTAGGTCTTTCTGATGTACTCTGGTTTGGCTCTTTCCAGTACAGCACTGATGTGATCTTCAGGGCTCTTTATCTTCTCAACTTGAACCTGAAAAGGAACGGGAGAGTATCAATCCTTTGGAAAGTGTGCATTCATTCCTTTGAACCCATCATGCAGACAACAGCAAATGTTTTCCAGCACTCAGAGCAGATACATACCACCCCCTTCAGCACAATGTCTGTTTCTGAGTCTCCAGAGGGATACACGACACCCGGGCAGTCGATGAGAAAAATCCGCCGCATGAGGGTAATGTATTGCCAGACCTGAAAGAGACCAGCAGTTCCCAGGTTACCTCCTTCCTCTCTTCTGCTCTTCCAATGCCCAGTTCTAACCCACGGGAGTCATCTTGGGAACTTGGTATTAACGCCCAGAGACACAACAGAACTTGGAACTTTCTCTTCTTGTTTACTGTCACGTTGCTGAAGAAGGGTTAGAGAACCAGCACTGACAGAGCCTGACAGCACAAATGTCCCCAGGGGGATTCAGGAGCACAGACACCACAGCAGGGCAGCTGAGCACAGATCACAGCTCTACAGAGAGGGCAGAGAGGGAACTCAGGAAGGTGTCCAGTAGGCATTGACTATCGATCAGCCACTCCTCAGGCTGGGGGTCACACAGCCTGTGCAGCTCAAGCACTAGGCTTGAAAAATCATTGAACTAATTTTACATTCATTCTGCCTTCAATGATGCACCTACACTAGTAGTTTTTATCTTTAATGCAGGGATCTCCTCCTACCTTTGTTTCACCTGCAATAGGGGCCACATTGCAGACCTTCTTCGACCGCAACGTATTGATGACCGAGCTCTTGCCAACGTTGGGATAACCAATGAAACCCACGCTGATCTGCTTCTTGTCAGAGTGTAACTGGGAAGAAATAACACATCTTTTTAGCACCTCAGAGAGAAATTAGTACTACAGTTCTGAACATCTCTGCAGCTACTGCTCTCACGGTCTTGGGAAGCAAAGGGGACTCCAAAGAACCAGGTCAAAAATGAGATCAGCTCTTTTCAAATCAGGAGAGATCTACAGGGGCACAGCCAACTCGCCAAGACCTCCAAGCACTAAAGAAAGTACTCGCTACTTCAAAAGGAAGATGTGAACCCCTTGAACTCCCAGTTGTTCTTCCTCTTCTACACGTTCAAGTGAGACCTGGGAGTGTCAATGGGATACTCTGTCTACAAGAAACCAAAGGCCAGAGACTGACTCCAACCAGCTCTTTCTGGATCTCCTCAGTTTGACAAACACTTTGAACATATTTGAAAGAATATTTTCCATTTTCTCTTCAGAGAAGGGAGCTTTATTGATGGAGTCCTTTGCTGACAGAAAGTCCACGGGGAAGCACACTGAACCCCAAACGCTACCAAAACAACCTCTCTGCTGAAACCCAGCACCTCCCAAACACCACCACCGATCCCCGAATCGTTGTGTACCTTTCCAAACTGCCGTAGGAGCTGTATGAAAGCCCCTTTGCCAAATGGGTTTGTGAGGCTGGCGTGAAAAGCAAGTGTTGGATACTCCTGGGAAAGGACAGCCACCCAGCGCTTCTGAAGAGGAAAGCAGGACAGGGTTAGGGACCGGGCGCCGCGGAGGTGGTGAAACCCTCTGGTCATGAGCAGAAGCACACACAGCATCTTCACTTGGGTCACAAACACAACCGCCTATGAAAACTGCTACGGAAGAACCTTTGAAGCATTTCACCAACCCAACAGCTAAAAGGACCGAGTATTGTTTTTATAAGACACAAACAATTTCCCAAAAACGCCTTCATTGCTAGCTAAAACTAATTAGTTTAACAATATAAAGCAAACCAGCTGCAGTGGATATGGATCTTAAGCGGCCTAACATTTAGCATCCTCTGGAGACATCAGCTGAACTGTTAAATCCAGACAGAGGAAGTAGAGAATTTGTGGCTGGTAAGTGTTGCTCAACTCAGCCCAACTTGGACAGATTTACATTGTAATTGTTACTTTTATAAGCAGGCAAGCAGAGAGCTCCCACTGCCCCAGTTCCATTGTGCCCTTTGAGACCAGCAGGAAGACTGGCAACAGAATTAAGGCAGAAGCTACAAAAGGAACAAAGAAGCTCCGAGGAGTAACAGGCAAGACTGTGCTTACGGTAGCCCAGGTAGGAACAAGATCACATTTGTTCAGGACAAAAATGAGATGTTTCCAGTGTTTCTCCTTTTTAAGATAAGATTCCACGTGAGGGGAGCGAGTGCCCATGGGATCCCTGGCATCAAGAACCTGAACGACAACATCTGATGAGTCTATCACCTGAAAAAAAAATAAAAAAAAAATATCAGAGAACAAAAGGATTTTACAGAAAGCAAGACATCTATAGCTTCAGAATGAAACCCAGGAATTTTCTAAACTATACCATTAATTTAAAAACCTCGTATCCTTCACGAACAACTGCTACTTCCCCATAGCCTAGTGAAGCTCAACCAGAATGAAACTATACCATTAATTTAAAAACCTCGTATCCTTCACGAACAACTGCTACTTCCCCATAGCCTAGTGAAGCTCAGACTGACATCCAGTGATCCTCACTCCCCTCACATTCCTGCTGGACACACAAACAGCTTCTACCTGTCCTCATGCACCAGGAAGATGCTGCAGGGCTTGGAAAATAAAGCCCTGTGCCCAAAAGGGAAAATTAATTGCTTCAGCAGACAAAACCAGTGTCCACCATCCACTCTGCAGCAATTCAATTCTGCCACTTCATAAAGGAACAGGATATAAAGTATGTTTTCTGGATCAATATGAAACACACAACCGAGCAGGAACCTGCTGTTAGTCCACTAAGGATCTACAGCAGGGAGCTGTCATTTTATGACTTGCTTCAAGCCAAGTGAATTTGTTTCACAGCTATTTCCTGCATTTTTGGCAGTGTCTTACAGAAATCTGTTTTGCTGTATCATTCCCAGCGCTTTTAGATCTAAATGAAAAGGTTTTAAGCTACATTCAGAAATTCAGAGCAAAAACTCGGGCAATTTCACACCTACTGGTCACTGAGTTTCTTCTGCATGAAGAAAGTCACTGTCTTATGTTTCTAAGAAACTTCACAGCAAATTCAATTGCATCAAAGCTTCCCTAACAGAGCAATAAACTGTTTTCAGAGCTTTCCTGATGACTGCTGAATGGGATTTTGTGAAAACTGAAAGATAGACACGAATCTGCTGCAAATCATAAATACTGCTTACCTTGTAAAGCTCCCCCCAGATTCTTTTGGACTGTCCTTTCTTATATATGTCCTCTTGTGCTTCATCCCTGGAAGGGGATTACCAGAGACATCAGCAACCACAGTGACAGGGTTAGAGAGCTGTCTTCTCTAAACCAGTTACAGACACAAGGGCAGATGAGGCCCAAGTACCAGGATTTAGCCCCCTCCTCATCCTCACCTTCACCCCACCCGTTTGCAGAAAGACCCTACAAACCCCAACTCCTCCAAAGACTCCTCCTCTCTGCCCACTGGCCAGTTCCCTGCTAACCCAAAACATGAGCTTGGAGATATTCTGACATGCAACAGAAAAGGAATTATGAATAGAGTCAGAAGGGTCCCACGGAAGGATTAAAAAAAAATCCCAAATTCAGCTAATTTCCCTTTCCTTACTCCTCATACAGTAACAGCATTGATGGAGGCACTGGACACTTCTTTAAAAATAAAGCTGGCTTTTCAGAAATGTGAACAATGAGTGATTTTTCCTCTCTGTTTACCTTACACCAGTGTCTTCTGTCACCAGGTCTCGGTCCTTGCCCTGATCATAAGCTCCTGAGGAGGCTTCAGCGTTCTCCACCAGAGACTGCACGTCACTTGCACAAAGATTTGGTCTTTTCCTCTGTGCTTTGGGGCCAAACGTCGTTTCAAACGTTTCTGTGTCAAGAATGTGAACTCTGGAGGTCTAAGGAAAAACAGGCTGGTAAGAAACCCCACAAACACTGTTCTTCCCATCTCTCGTGACACACAGAGCACAAGACCTTAGTTCAACACAACTCTGCAACCTGTGACAGAAGTTACAGGCACTTCCCTAATAATGTTTGAGTTTTCCAGCTTAATCTTTGAGAAACATAAGGGTGGGTATTTAATAAGCAACAAAACACACTACACTTGCCAAAGAACTATGCTTCAGTTCTTTCACTAGAAATGTTGTCAAATGTAATTAAAGCTACAATGATGAAAATTCAGCTGCTATCTTTGATCATTTCTTATTCTTCTAACAAGTGTACAAATCTCGCCAAATTCACAGAGTTTTGTCAGGGACAATTACAATCAAAATTGTAGATTTTAATGCCTGTACCGAATGCCAACTTTTCTTGGAACAGCATTCAATTCATTGCTGAAAAGTAATTTGTTTTTCTAATGCATGTTTTAGTTCCTTGGGACTTCTTCCTTAATTTAGGTAACATTTTTACGACACAAACCTGGAAAGTTTCCATATGAAAGAACAACTAGAGTCTAAATGAATAGTTCAGTGGTCAGGAAAGAAGCCTGATAATAACTAAAACTCGCTGTATTAGAGATGAAGGCTGCAGGCACAAGAATTTCTGATTCAATATAAAAAGGAGATATTTGAGTTCAAATTCATCACACAAAGAATGTCTGCAGTGAGAAGCCTCCCTCCAAACAGGTGCCTGTGCCACAGGAGCTGTTAGAAGCATGAGAAGAAAAGGTAGCAAACTGCAGTGGCCACCCAAAGCTCACACTCTGACCTAGGATCTTTTAGGGTAAGTTTCCTATCGGAAAATGAGAATTTCTAATAAATAATAGATCTTCTCACAAACTACAGGGAAGTAATACACTGTTTGTTGCCTTCACGCTTGATGTAGGCTCTCAAAAACATCCTTCCCCAAGTCATCTGCTCCAAGAGCCACTCCCAATCCTTCTAGAACCCACCATCTCCCCAGGCTGAAGAGAGGCAGCACCGTTGCCAGCAGATAAATGATGCTCGTGGCACCTCCGTGCACATAACCCAGCCCTCCCCCGTGCCCACGAACGACACTCACGTGGGGTTTAATCCGATCGTAGAAAAGGGACATGGGCAACTTTTTTTGCTTCATGACCACTCTGTAAGGATCTTTCATGACAGTTTCCATCTCTTCTTGAAATTTCTGTAGGGATGATTGCTTGATCACACGAGTATTTCCTGCATATAAAAATAAACGTTGCACAGAAGCAATCTCCATCTCGAGTCCCTCCCAGATCCCAGGTACTCTGTGTTCAGTATCTGCCCCACACAGCACTGAGACCACAATTTGGAAATAAACACCCTCCAAATGCATGAAGTCCAACAGTTTTGAAGCTTGCTGAGTCTGAGAGTTGAAAAAAACAACTCACCAAACCATTTAATATTTGGTCCCCAGGTACACTGTGTGCTCAGTATCTGCCCCACACAGCACTGGGACCACAATTTGGATATAAACACCCTCCAAACGCACAAAGTCCAACAGTTTTGAAGCTTGCTGAGTCTGAGAGTTGAAAAAAAACAACTCACCAAACCATTTAATATTTGGTTCCACTCTTGCGACTGTGCCTGGGGCCACTGTTGACTGATACTGCAGAGGCTTAATCACTTTGCCGTGTTTGTTTCTAAGTGAAAAACAAGAACACACATAAATACATGAGGGCAGCGCTCCCCCCTCTAGCACCTTTGCTCACTAGCCCAGAAGTACACCCACAAACCCCAGAAAGACCCTTAATCTAGAACTGGTGCCCTGTGACTGTCACCACAGACCGTGCTGCCTGTAAAGGCTCGTTAATGCAAACGCTGGAAGAGAAGAAGAGGTGTCAGCCATGCACCCCCCTAACTCTCACTCCAGCCTGAGCAGACTCATGATGGAGGTGGCTCCTGTCAGAGCAGGAGTGGCTCCCTGGGCTGCACAAAGCAGCACGGCTTCCCAGGAAACACCACTTTCTCCTCTCATGGGCTCACGGGGTAATTTTTAATCAGCTCTCTCCACCAACCGCTGCAGAACACTCGTGGGGAAATAATTTCCAAGTTCAGACCTAGCTTAAGTTTAGTAATTTTTTTAAAACATGTATTCCCCAGCCTGCTCTCAAAACAGAGTGAATTCCGGCAAAACAAAACAAAACTGCTAATCTGAACCAGGACTCTTGGAAACCCCCATGGCATCAGCAACGTGGCAGGGACAAGGGACAGGCATTTGCGAGGCAGGAGCCGCTGTGCTCCCGATCGTCAGGCTCTTGGGACACCCCGAGGTGAGCTTTTGAGCGACGCTCTTGTGGGGAATGAGGGAATTCTGGGCATCTGGGGGCTCATGACGCCCCAGGGGGGTCACCTCAGTCCTTCTGCATCGCGTGTCTCCCAGGACAGTGACACGCGTCGCTGCTGCCCGTGCCCAGCATCAGCTCCGTGCCGGTAACGGGCATTCTGCCGGCAGAGCTCCCGCAGCGTGTCCTTCTGCATCGCGGGTCTCCCAGGACACTGACACACGTCGCTGCTGCCCGCACCCAGCGTCAGCTCCGCGCCGGTAACAGGCATTCTGCCGGCAGAGCTCCCGCAGCGCGGTCCCACCTGCTCTCACCGGCTGAACGCTGCTGCTCCGCACCGGCAGAGGCGCTCCCGGCGGGACGCGGCCCGACACCGCGACTGACCCCGCAGGCACCGGCACCCACTCACCGCCGCGCCCCGGAGAGCCCGGCCCCGTTCCTCCGCCTGGCCCGAGGCGACTCCCCCGGCGCCTCCGCGCGGACGGGCGCACCGAGCCGCCTGAGCCCCCCCCCCGCAGC